CAATGCGAATAAAATCGCTAAGCGATATCATAGAGGCTCGTACAGGACATTTTATTCTTGCGTCGCCAACTATTATTTATCAAGATGATTTTAAGATGGCAGTGCCTATAGTAATCGAGTAGACGATCGCTTTGACAAATAAATGTTATATATGTACGATAGTAGGATATTAGTTTTGAAGATTAACATTTCCTTGTGTACAAAGGGCTTAATAGGACTTTTAGATCGACATTTCAAGAAAATATTGATCGCTCGTTAGTCAATTCAATTGATCTCAAGTAACGAGGCGGAACGTAACAAGTATAAATCAGAATTAACTTGAAACCTAAGCTAAATAAGGCTATGCAAAGTAAATGAAGCCCTCTGATATTTCTATAGGTTTCCTCGAAGTAATTATTGAATAGAATGTAAATAAGATGCTTGTTAAATAGATCTTCGTAATAGGGATAAAATAATTTAAAAAAAAATCTTAGTTCAATCAGATGTAAGGTCAATGTAAGGCATTTAAGAATTTTAATAGTGTCTGTTATTAAGATAACATGTTTCATATCTTGCAGTTAGAGCGTGCGTACACCTTTGAAAAAACAATTGCACAACTGTTGTGCGTCTGTCCATTGTTTCGCAGCTAATTCAACTGTTTAGTTACACAACTAAAAATCGAGTAGTGTGCGCACCTCCATATAAGCTCATAGGAATCAAATCAAGACTAAACAGTTGTGCGATAGTTTAGTTTCGGATATCTTAAACTTTGTGATATAAGTGGGCAGCAATCTCCTCCATAAAATGTAAAATAGATAGATAATCTACTTCATGCAGTAACATCCCCTCACCTAAACCAAGTCTAAATTACAATCTGACGACCATGTAATTTACTCGTAAATATGCACAAATAACAAAGTCTAGTAATTTAGATTAAATGTTATCTCAAAAAAACTTACATTGTTCTTACGACTTCTTAATGCGAATATATATATAGATGTACAAATGTAGAAGGGAAATTATGACAGAATAGCTCTAAACTTACTTGTCTACCTCTCTAAGTTACCGGCGTGAGTATTTTACGTAACAAATTTGACTATAAGTTACTTAGTGTTAACATTTCTTTATACTTTCTAACTAAAAATTTTTCAACGACACGTCGCTGTTGTAAATTTCCAAGCGTCTATTAAACTTTCAAAGAAACATTTTAAAGTTAAATAATTACCTCCATTGCGGTACAGCGCAGTTTCTTTCCTTTACGCCTTTTAGGTTACAAAATATTTGAACTTTTTAATAACACTCTCAAAGGGAATTACAGAAAAAGAAAATTAATTCAAGTATAAACAGATTTTTATTAAAACCTTAAATAGCGTTACAATTAAAACAAAGCGCCAATAGCCTAATGGTTTGGGGTACGGACTACCGATCTTGCGGTCGAGGGTTCGAATCCCGCCATTCGACTATTGTCGTAAACCATATCCTAGCACAAGCCTAGAGCTTAATTGGAATGGCTAAAGGATATATTAGTAAATTAACAATAATCTACTGATTTAAAAAAATACGAGTAGTTTCAAAATTCAAATGACATAATAAATATTGCATAGAATCATTAAACGATATTTAAACAGCCCCTTGTTTTATTTCCGATAAGGGTCCCTGAGTAAGCATTTTAATGTTTCAGACATATGACAGTATATGGCAGTATGATATAAAATACAATAAAGTAAATCTAATGCTACTCGTTATTTTTATTTTTCTTTGATTGGCTTTCCGCCTCTTCGATGGTATCAGGCAGAGGTACGTTGATTGTCTCTGGCAGAGTGAACACGAGCGCACTGGCAACTAGAGTTATACTGGCAAAGAATATCGCTGGCAGGTTATCGTAATACAACGCCTGGAAAAAAATATAAAGAACATGTCAGAGTAGACAAGTGATTCTTAAAATGATCCAAGGTCCCCTAAGGTTTAACGGAAGGTTCGAGAATGAATACCACGGCGAGTTGTAAAATTAAAGGTTCATGAGCTAAAGAAAAATCTAGCATCAGGGAAAGGTCACTGAAACCATTAAATTTCGAAAGGGATTTAATTACTGACTGACGTTATCAACTTAGGACGTTTGGTACGGAAATTCCTACAAACAGAGCAATGAGAGAAAAAACACTAATAGTTGGAGGCAACAATAATCTAATAAACAGTCTTACCAATAATGGTGTGAGGGGCGCCAGTGTGGAGCCGACGCGACCCAGCGCTGAGCAGACTGCCAGTAGAGACTGCCGCGCGTTCGTGGGAAATACCTCCGACACGTAGATGTAAACAGAGCTGTACGCTATCGTGATTGAGAACTTCCCAGACAAGTAGATTACAAGAGATAACCACTTCTGATCTGTGGGAGAAAAGATTACTGTTTCTACAAATATTTTTAAACGACAAGGCAGTAAAAGACTAGCGCAATCAAACGATAACTCATTTCAGGAACTGCAGTTGCCTTGACAATAATAAACTATAAAAGATTGTTTTTGCATGAATTTAAGTCGAACTAGTTTTTAATTTCTTTGTATTACAAAATATACTAACCTTTACGAATCAAATAAAGACTAACGCAGAAGCAAGCACTCAACAGATAAGTCGATATCAATGTCCGCTTCCTACCATATCTCTCTAACACAAACAAACACACAAAGTTTGCTGGAATCTCAACAAATGCTACCAACATGAAGTTCACATATTTGTTACCAGCTAGTGATACTGAGTTTATAGATAGTCCGTAATACACAAAAGTGCAAGTAATCCACAAAAAGGAACATACTGCTACTCTCTTTCTTATAATGCTCGATTTCAACGCTTCCAGAAAAGTGGATTTCGTTGTTCCTCCATTGTCTGCTATTATTTCTTTGTTCTTTGTATCTTCTTTGCCCACTTTATATATTGATGATATAACTTCATCAGAAATATCAACATTGTTCATTTTGCTTGCTTTCTTTAGTATTTCAACTGCTTCGTCATGTCGACCTTTACTAAGCAGCCATCTGGCACTTTCATTCAGAAACCAAAGGTAGGAGAATACTAAGAGTGCTGGAAAGTATAAGACCCGAAGTAGTTTCCTCCAGCTTTGAAGCCACCAGGAAAGACCAGCGAGAGACATTGAACCGAAAACGTATAAAACGTTTATTAGGGTATTTCCAAATACCCGCCCTTTAGGTCCGACGATTTCCATTGCTAAAAGTAATTTAATTTCATTAATTAATTAAAATTTAAATTGTCTCTGCGAAAATTACAGTTATATTGAAAATTACGTTTCTAAGAATTCGATTCAAATCTCTGAAAATATTCTTTCTATGTAAATAATCACTTACAGTATATAAATTATAGAAACCAAACAGATATATTGAAAAAACAGTTATTAAAACTACAAAGAAAAATACTTACTAAGGGATTTTTTTTAGAATAACAAAATTTTTAAAGAAAAACCTCCGATTTATTTCTTCGAAGTAATAAGTCATAGCAAATGTAATTTAATAAGGTGACTCGAAAAGAAAATTGAATATTGATTATAAAGTGTCTCGTTAAATTCATATCTAACTTACCTAAAACAAAAGCTGTACTATACGCTCCGGCGCCTAAAGAAGCTTCTAGAAATTCCATAGCAACCATCATATAGTAATTAGTAGAGAATGATCTGGTAATACCAAATATACCATTCATCAACGACGCTATTGGTAAAGCAATTTTTCTTCCAAATCTATCAGAGATCATTCCAGTAAGTGGCAAAGAAACGAATAGACCGGAATTATGTATAGTGCCAATTAACGTTCTCTTCCAATTTTGGCATCCTAGGTTGAACTGCAAAAAAAATTAAAGTGTCTTTTGCTGTCACAGCTAATAATAAATTTTCTAGTTTTCAAGCGGACTTCAAAAACTTAAAACATGAAGTATTCCGGTCATCCAATGAAACTAACAGAAAAAAAACTGAAATCAGTTCATCTTAAGACCATATTTTAAAATAGCCGACCACTTCATTTAACATCCAAAAGGAGAGTTGGACATCTAAAAGGAATAGACTCTTAGAAAATTAAATGATAGCAGTTATAGACGGAGAAAGAAAACTTCGTGATGAAACCGGCACATATGGGCAAAGAAATTCAAAGATATGTGTGAAGTCAACCAACCTGTACTGGGCCAGTGTGGTTGACTATAGCCTAGTCACGCCTTACTCAGTGGGGACATATAATGAGAATTTGAGTTAAGGACATAGATAGAAGTCCAATGAGAATACGGAATAATTTTATAGTTGCTATGCATTTTAACGAGATATCATATCTCCACGAGCCTTGTATCTGTGACTGCAATGTTATCGATAACAATCATTATCAAACTCATGGTTAAATCCACTTAAACTTTACACCATTATGTTTGATGCAGGTAAATTTAAGGACTTGACTTGGAGGCTCAGGTCTTGGGTGCGAATCTCGCCATGTACTTATATGATTTTCGATTTTACAAATTTCCATATGTACATAATCTATCCGACTTTCCCCAAAAAAACATCGTGATGCAACCTGCAAATATCGGCGAAGAAATTCAAAGATATGTGTGAAGTCAACCAACCCGCACTTGGCCAGTGAGGTTGGCCTCTAACTTAAGGTAGGCTCTGAGCCCCTCGGCGGGGACATATAGTGAGCTGGTGATGATGATGTTAATGAGTTAAATTTGAGTATTACTTTTCACTTCTAAGTGTGTCTCTATATTGGAATGTCTATATTTCCTTCTAAGACTTACATCCTTGACTGCCGAATCTTCATCACTGTAAACATATTTTTCACATTGTTCTAAAACAGTTCTGTTGAAGTCCCGTTCACTGCATGTATTACTATTGTTTCCCAGATATTGATACCGTTTGCATTTTGATAACTCATATTTTTCATAAGGTATCGCGTAATCTATCCAAAGGCTTTCGTTGATACCTTCGCATTGACTGATTTCGCATCTGCAACAAACAAATTACTATCTAAAAGCGAATCAACCAAAAGACTTCTTTAGCATAAAATCACAGAAGTCGCTACCTTTTTCTGTAAAGTTTGTTAGAAAATTCAATAATTAATGCTGGGTTTCTGAAGTTTCTATTTATTTCATCATTGCCTAATTCATCATCATCATCATTTCATGAAGTTATGGAAACAAAAACACTAACAAATGGTTAAAAGTAGCTGGGAAACCGGCCATAAGTATTTCTATACGAACATAGCCAAAGATGTAAATAAACGCGTGATAATAGTAACAAAAGATCTAACTATCTGTCTAATCTAACTGTTAATGCAAATATTGGATATGAAAGTCGGCAAACACGACCATTTAGATACCAATGTACCGATTGTCATCGTTTATGGCTTTCAACACTTTAATATCGCAGAGCCTCGGAGCTAGCATACAATTGCATTCAAATTCCATATTTAGTTTATGGATAAACGCCGCGAGACAAAAGGCAGAAGCTATTGTTTCAGATAGGATTTTAGCTTTCCTTTTATTGTTTTCCGATATAACCATATGGTAATATAATCTCTAGATAAAATTATCTCGATTGATAGCGAAAATTTCGAACTTATATTGGATTATATCAGTTTTCAATGCGAATGACATGATCTTAACATTTCTATACTTTCTTTTCTTAACATAACTATTTCATAGAGCCTTAAGTAGTTTTTCCACTGTGACTTATGCCAAGTCGAGTGCTGAGTCAAATTAGTCAAAAAAAGGTAAATGAGAGAACGAGAATAGACAATGGAAGAGTAAAAAAACTTTGTTAAAAGTCTTCATCCACTTGCCCTTATCCCTTACGGAGGCACAGTATGTCCTACTCTTCCATACATCGCTATCAGCCGTCATATCTGAATCCACTCCTTTCTTAAGCATATCCTCTTTCACACAATCCATCCATACTTTCTTTGGTCTTCCTATACCTTTGTAGCCATCTACATTCAAAAGTAACAAGATTAAATCCTAAGATAATAATTTAGAAATAATGTTTGATCGACATTGAACACAAATCCAATACGTAATTTATAAGATCAAAAAAACACTCCAATGCAGAGATGGAACCTTTGAATACAACTGGCAAAAATAAAGTACACTAGAACCATTTCAGCTTCGATCACTGGACTGAAGGTAACCGAGCATTATACAGTACAGTGCAGCAAATAATATTCTAAGGTTAAAGCTCGTACGTATTAGCTTCGATACTGAGAGTAAATAGAAACGGAAAGCTTACAAGGGAATGCAAATGTATGATAATAGGCGCTTAGAGGGTGGCAGAGCTACCCCCGGTAGACGCGTCTATATCATCCGTCGACTTGTGAACTTTACTCCTTTGGCTTAGAGTTCAAAATAACATTTTACTTTTGATATATAGCTGTAATGCATTCGAGACTAAGTGAATATTGCTTCAAGGATTTCCTGGCGGTGAAATAATTAATAATACATTAACTATTTAGCACTGCGCCAGCGCCATCTGGATTTCAATTACGTAACTTTGTATTTATTTTTATGCTACTACATTTTAGGTTAATTTGTATGGAAATATAGTACTAATCGTAAAACATGATAGTGCACAAAGGTTTATGGTGGACGTGTTTAATCCGCGATATTAAAAATGTGTTTTTGACCTACTTCCCAAAAGAAGGAGGTACTCAATTCGTCTGTATGTTTTTTTATGTGTGTTACGGCAAAACTCCGCCGCTAGTTGACCGATTTTGATAATTCTTCTTTTATGCGAAAGGTAGTGCTTGCAGGTGGATCCCATTTTTATTCATTTTTGAAGTCAAAGACGTAGTTAAATAGTTTTGTTAAAGATGTACGTAAATAATGTTAATACTACTCGTATATCTATACTAATACTATAAAGAGGAAATATTTTGCATTTTTATTTTATTTGATATAACTCAAAAACTACTTGGCCGATTTCAAAAAATCTTTCACCTTTAAAAAGCTAAGTTGTCAGTGAGTAACATAGGACATGTTTTTTTTTAATTTCACGGAGGCGAAGTCTCAAGCAACAGCTAGTAAATAATATAATACTTACCTATAATCTATATCAGAAGCTTCAAACACATAAATCGATGCGTACATTCCCGCCAAATAGATTGGAAATAATAACAATGCATAATTCACAATATTGTATTTACCAAACGGTCCTAGTTGTTTTAAAACCACGTCCAAATCAAATGGTTTATCACCGGTAACCTCTTTAGACATTTTAATAAAACAAACAAAATTAACTACATAAATAGTTAAAAGTGACTTATCTACACTTTTTTAATCTATGATTCTATCGACGCATAAAAATACAAAACTTGACTATAATTTGCAACATTTTAAATACATTTTTTCACTAAAATTTTAACTCGTCGTGAGATTTAAACGAAAGTTCTCTTTCAAATCTATTCTACGATTGCGTTATTTTAAATTGGCAAACATAACCTTGTAAGATAAAATATAACAAACGATAGTCACTTCAATATCTTATATATAGATATAATAAAATTAGAGTGTCTGTTTGTAATATCCAAAGAATAATACCACATTTCACATTCTGTTCTGCAAGCGTTTGTTTCAGGTAATTTGCGACACGGCTGCAAGGTTTTCGACCGGACTTTCACTGAATAGCTGACAGACGGGCATGTTGTAGTCTACTTTTTCATATTATTGCGTGGACGAAGTCACGGGTAACAGCTAGTAATCTGCTTATGATAAGAGATCGATAGATGCGATATAGATATTCAAGTAAAAGAGATGTAGAGCGGACGTTAGGATTATTGTAAGGCGTGTCAAAAATTGCCTACTGAAACATGAAGATACTCGGTTAGTGTTGTCTAGTGTATGTCTGTATTCAATCACACCTGAAAATATGCAGTTTAACGGCACAAATAAAAATGAATAATTTAAAACAAGCTTTCGCCCGCCGCTATGTCTTCGTGGAAATATAAAAAAAAATAAGTATGTGTTCTTCAAGAGTATCTTCTACATTTATGCCAAATTTTACCAAAATCCGTACAGCTGTTTAGACTCCAAGCTTGAACAAACATCCATCTAAACTTTCGCATTTATAATGTTAGTAAGATTGTTGCCATGAATTGGAAATACGCGTTTGTTTTACCTGTGAGACACATTTATATAAACAACTAGGATTTGTAAGACCTAGAATTTGGTTATTAGATAAGATATGGTATTGTAATTCGAGTAGCAAACCCTTGTTAACAGACCTCAAACATAGACAAGGCAAACATGATCGAGTTGGGATCAGGTAAAATATTAGGTACAGTTGCCTTCATACGCGGTGTTCACTTTAACGACAATCGTTGGATCGCCTCGAGGTTTTAAAACGATATTGGTAAATGTTGTACCTACAGTATATTCAAATCTATTCAATAGAATTAACTATACTTTAGTGTTAGCTATTTTTATTTAGTTTTCAATATTAACAAAATATACATTCAATACTTATTGATAATTTAACCAATTGTTTTACTTTCAATATTAACAACGATAGCAACCTAATTGTCCGTAAAAATGGGTTTAGTGTGACTTGTGAAGAAGAAGGCAATTTTTCTATAACTCGAACACCGCAAACGAAGCCGACTGTACATTGAATGGGTATTGACTTAATTCAACGCTTAATGAAGGGAAACTTGGAGAGGATGACTGGGACTTTGATCGTTAGAATTCGTCGTTAAATTTGAATTAACTTGTATAGATGTCTACTTAAGACCCCAGCTTATGTCATGGTATGAACGGTAAAACAAACTCGTTATGTTCTTAAGAGGGACTTAAGAAGCAAAAAGGTCTCATTCTCATTTCATCCTTCGTCTTAGCTCGTTTTTTTATTGATTTATAATTAAAGCTTTGTTAAAAAAAGGACTAAAATTGCAAGTAAACCTCTAGGAAAATGTCCAGCAGTGGGCAGACATAGGCTGATGATTATGATGGTGGTGATATTCCTGGAAAATAACCTAAAATTGTGATAATAAACTTGTGATACTCATTTGATAAATTACATTCGCGCCTGCTGATAATATTACAGCAATATCTACTCAGCGTGATATTGCAGATAGTACACAATAGAGGAAACTCATTCGTTGTATTTGAGAAAATAATATGTTTTGAAAGTATTCTTTGAGCGATGAAAAGAAAAACAAGTATTACCAAACATTATATTAAGGGTCATTTTTTGTTCAATCACAAAGAGAACGGACCGCTCGGTACGGACAGACATAATGGAAACGACATATTCCACTAATCCTAGAGTACGGACTTTTTATATAAATTACTACTTATTTATTTGTAAATTGACATCATCTGGGTAAATGTCAAATACTATAAAAATACCATAAAACACATCTTATGTATTTATGTTCAAAAAAACTGCATTAGAATGGGATAAAGTAAAGTGCCATCATGCATGTTACATAACAGAAATTTTTACATTTTAATAAAACGTAATCAAAGTGTACATACATTTTATATCTCAAAATTCACACAATATTGAATGCTCTAACAAAGTTCATTAGTATTTCCCCTCTCGCTTCGTTTACCCTCTCTGTCTCGCAACCCCACTTCAAATTTTACCCCTCGGATCTTTGAATTATTTGACAAATATTTCTCCGTGCATAGTACTATGGGACTACACACCAGATGGAGTAGATTTCAATGTATACTAATGTTATTGAAAGGAATAAAAAATATTTTTGGACTTTTGTACTTATTGAAATAACTGAAAAACTACTGGACCGATTTCAAAAATTCTTTTTCCATTAAATAGCTACGTTCTCAGTGACTAACATGTCCATATTTTTAATTCATATATATATTAATAATTTATATACCAGAAAACAATAACTAATTCATTTGTCAGTGGTAGAGCCTGCTTTAACATCTTCGCACGAATAGGCCGGCTCGCCCGGTGCAATACCACGACCACACAGAAAACAGACGTGAAGTGGAAGCAATTCCGCGTTTCGTCTGGTGAGTGTGGTGAGGAGTCCTAATTTTAGTCCCTTTCCCTTTCCACCCTTTTCTTAAGAGGAAAGGATGAGAAGGAAAAGTGGATTTGACGGTGGAGGAGACGTGTAGGAAGGGAAGTGTCTACTTTATGTGCGTCTCCTCCTCCGTCAATAAAGGATACGCAACGCATCTGTAATTACGGATGTTTATGGGCAGCGGCCGCTTTCCATTTCGGTGGATTCAAGTGGCCGCTTGCTTGTTGCCACCTTATATTATAAAAAATATATTAAAAAGTAGTATTTTTAAGGGAAGTTCTATGAATTACAATAAAATACATTGACGCAGTATTTCTGGTAAGCATTATGTAATAAGATTAAAATGTAAATGGAGTTTTCATGTAGAACGAATGCATTTGCAACATTGATAACGCTAAGAAATATTTTCAATGTTAACGTTTCAAGAACTAGAATTTTGCATTAAAGTACATCTTTTATTAATAGACATAAAATTTATTATCTTTTTAAAGCATCAGTGCATAAAACATTGCAATAACATTGTAATATCATTTCACTAATTTTTAACAACATTTATTAATGAATTCCATTCTATTAAGAGGTCCGTAGTTTTTGTGGTACTCGATAATGAAAAGACAAAAATTGTACAGTAATAACATGCTTGTATATTCCTTTTTTTAAAATATAAGGTGGCAAACGAGCGAGCGGCCACTTGCCTATTATAAAATTAGCCTAAATCTGACGTAATATTGGCTGGCAAACCTTAGTCAGTATTAGTGTCAAATCGTCCTTGCCAAAATTAAATAAGTCGTTCCTGTTACCACTAAAATGGTATTTTCCTGTAAACAACATAATCAACTTTGTTTTTTTGGATCTACAAAGACGTTTAAATTCTTATATCTGTATAATTATAATAAATAAAAAAATAAAATAAAAAACAAAATTATTATCATATAGTAACACAAAGTATAAATCGTTCTACATTATCAGATGACAACAGTATTTCGAAATGCATTATCACGAAAGAGAAATAAAAAAAAAACATTATCAAATACAGTTATTAAACAGACATTATCTCGCCTATTTAAAATTACATCCACGATACAACGTACGACGGCATGATCGATCGATCTACTGTTATCTCTTTCTCTATCATAAGTTTTAATTCAGATTTTAGAACTCCGTCCTTGTCTAGCAATCCGGAACAATACGACGCGTGCACGAGTCGCAGCTGGATGTTCTGTTTATTTTTGTCTGTGGATTCGCGTGTGTTGCGTTCGCGTCGTGTGAATACAAAAAAATATTAAAAAAAAACTATTTATTGTAAAATAATTTTGATAATTAATCTGTGGTCATTTTATCGCGCATGCGTTGACAAACGTCAAAATATAAGACAAGCGTGAAAGTAACACGTGTTTGTAAAAAGTGTAAAAAGCCGACAAATGTTTACCTAAGCTTTCGTTAGATTATTAATTGATTATTACATAATGGCTAATTCGGTTGGTGCCAGTGAAACGATTGATTTAGATTCTATTTTAAAACAACTCGGTGCTTTTGGTAAATACAACATTCTTAATTATGCTTTGTTATTATATCCAATATTTTTGGCGGGAATGTACGGTTCTGTGTATGTGTTCGAAGCCCCTGATATAAGTTACAGGTCAGTATTAATAATATACCTATATTACAATTAAGAAGATACGTAAAACAAGTTTTGGTGGAAGCTTTGCAAGATCCGTGACAAACGCGAATTTTTATTTCAAGGTCATATCAAATTCTTATTAAAACAAAAGTTTAAATTTAATGCCATGTATATTTCAATTATCTGAAATAATACATTGAAGTCTTCCCCATTTTTTTGCGATAATTATAATTGTACAAAATTACTTCCGATTGATTTTTTTACCATTACATTTAGTTATTTCATATATTAGCGAGTAATGTCACCTTATTTTAACTAACAAAAACATTTAACCTTTTAGAGGTTATTCTTATTATAATAGGGTCAACGTAATACGCATGCGTAATTTTTTCTCAACTCGTTAGCTCTCCCCCGGGAGATCCCATTCTCCATTAATATTCTCGTTTAGGTTCTTTTGTGCCTTTGTTGATTACTCTAGTACGGAGAAAAGCAAATAATGTTGTTACATGTTACCTAATTGGCTATCTATTCTAAGAGCATATATATATATATATCTATGTAGGTATATATCGACCTGCCTTGTCCTTACGAAGGGTCGC